AAACTCGAAAGCTCAACAACCGTTTTTATGGCAGGGATGGATCTACTGGGCTGTTTCGTCGCGATCTATTCCCAGCCCGTGCCATGTCCCCATCTATAGATCTCGCAAGCTTCACCACTTGGGGGCACCAAAGTGGGGTGGATTGTGGAGCGATCGAGAGCTAGGCAAGGGGCAACCGCCGACTGGAGCTCAATGCTAGCTCTAAGCTCGGCTCTATCTACGAAGAGCACGACATATCAGCTGTAAATGATGTCTAGTTGAAACCCGCCATCCAGCGGTTCGGCAACTCATCGGAAATAGTATTTGATATTGCCCTCCTCGGCAGGGATGACCACGTGAATGGCGCCATGTCGAACAGACTGTAGCTGAATTGAATCCCACCCCTGTTAAATTGCTTTGGCATGGCTGCTGACGGTTAACATCGAATAGGAATTGCGCTTTCACTCCCTCCACACCTATATTCTCAATAGCCGAAGTCGAAGGGCCTTTTGAATGCATGCACACGTAACAACTGCGATCTCAAACAGGCCCGTGTAAGGTCTATTGCGCTATGCTAATTGTGTAGGTGTCCAGCTGCGCGTTTCCAGATGAGAAGGGCGAGAAGGGTGTGTGTCACGAGCGAATCCTGTTCGATTTCTGAAACCTATTCATCCTATCTTTGCATGCAGTCTGCAGTCATCTCGTCTAGGCCGTTAGATTAGTTAGATTAATTCGTTCAAGCATCTGGTCTAGCCATCCCGTCAGGTGCTTCTAAGTTCCCACTCTGGACTGTTTCAACTCGAATTAACAGAATTTTGGTCTCGAGGGCCTGAACTACCTTGTTCATCAGGCTCTAATCTAGTCTATAAATCATCACCGACCGGCTCATTTCCCTTTGTGGCATAAAAGATATTATCTAGCCTTGAAATTACCTTTTGTCGCATTACCCAACGTCCATGGAATACGTCTTCTCCTCAACTCATTCCAATTCCGCTTGACTAACGCGTTCAATTATTTATATATGCTTATAGCCCGGCTGGAAGTTTTGGTAAATGTTGGATAGGTGGGAACCAGGCCAGATATCCGTCATTACTTCCTCATGCATTACCAAGCGACCCATACCCTAGTGACATTTCTGTTTCATACAAGGCCACTATGTTCTATTCTTACGCATATATCTAGATATAACCATGCATCGTTGCTGCTGAAAATACTCCATTCACATCGTTCTCGACATTTCGCTTCAACTGTGATACAACACAGTGAACAATGGCGAAGCTTGGGCCGGACCAATATAACCCCGAGACTCGGTCTTTCCAGTGTGACTGGGAATCCTGCCATAAGGTCTGCACGTACTAAAAATACACAATACTGAATTGTCTTGTTGACCACAAACCTCAGAGCTTCAGGCGGCAGTCAGACTTGAAACGACACCTTTACACCCACACAAACGAAAGACCCTACGTGTGTTCAACACCCGGCTGTGGCAAGGGCTTCATTCAGCGTAGTGCTCTAACTGTCCACGTACGAACACACACGGGCGAGAAGCCTTATCAGTGCGAGTTCACTGAATGTGGAAAGCGTTTCTCTGATGTAAGTTGAAGACAATATCTCCGGAGATCTTTGTTATTTTCTGAGCCTTAACATAGTCATCATCTTTTTCTCGTCACCGACGTGTGCATACCAGCAAGCAGTCCTATACAGATGGCAGCAATAACAGTTTAAAGAGGTAATATCATAAATGACAAATTATACTGATTTTGAGACAGTCTCGATTCTGACAAGAAAATAGCCCTTGTGTCAGGACTCCAATGGCCAGATATCCGCGATCTCTGCCGCGTGACCATCACCCTAGCAATGCTTTTGATGCTTGCACCTTAATTTTAGACAGCGGCGAATCCTCCTCTATGACAGATCATAAGATGAATTTCCACGTGCAGAGCGTTCTGACTCGCTCTTCCTTGGTTTCTAGCAGTCAAATGCTGTCATCTCCCGCATTTGACGACTATGGTGGATACCTATATCCATATGGCCAAATCCAGCAGAAAAGCAACCTTCAGAACACGCCTACAGAGCCGCCTCAATACCACGCTCAGAAGGCTAGGATGCAGATGTTCCATCACCCGAGCAGCATGTCTCAGCAAATCTACTGTGTTGATGGTGAGGATAATGCGGAGATGGCCATAATGAACACGAGCGTACCTCTAATATATCCTTCACCTCGACAACTAGCAGGGCTACCAGCAATGGACGTGCCCACTGTTACTGAGGGTAGGGCTAGAATAATTAGTCAAACTATATATCCGTAACAACACACATGCGTGGACGAGTCATGCTCTGCGTCCATTTGCAGCTCATAAGTGCTTACTACCTCAGTTGGGTTGCAAAGAAACAGGCCTCCCTGCAAAGATATCTAGAATATTTCAATGGCTCGACAAAAGCATTTCTAAACTATCGCTAGTTATCAATTGTTACGGGCTACACCCAACATAAGAGACCTGGTGGTGTCGGATAATGCCTCTGTAGACTAAAGTCGCAGAGCTTGGTGTAATTGCTGGATATCATAGTGTCAGCTAAAATAACTAAACTTAGCCGAAAGTCAAATTCGGACAAAAGGAAGTTTTTGGTATTAAGCAAAGGGCTGCAGACGGAGTCTGCAGCACAACAACGATCAACAACAATAATTTTGTGAAGAAGCTTAGTTAATGAGTCTGATAACGTGACAGGTGGAGTCCTGACCTACCGGATAATGCCGCTGTAGACAAGACAAGACTGAACCTAGCAGGGAAAAAATTCGGCAGAAGGGAAATTTCTCGATGGTGAAGAAGCCTTGTCAACAGAGAGTCTCCTAACGTCGCATGACCAGCATTGCCACCCCTTTGAAAGGCCCAGTTACTCGTTGAAGACAAACAACCATCGTCATCCTGCTGCCTGCCAGGAAGCAGTATTACAACAAGTATTTAGTTTCGTATTATTCCACTCGTTATGTAGAAAACCAAGAGTCTCTCAATTTGTCCAAGCTGTCCCATACAATCGTGTGTTCCACACATGCTGTGGGTGCGACACGAAATGGGGTGGGAGCAGATGCCAATACCATCAGGAGATGAGTTGTCGGCAAGACAAGGCATGGCTGGGACTACCGCCGATCTAAGAAGTGAACATGCACTCGGCAGTCTACCAGGAAGGGACACAATGACTTGGCAGGGGTCAGGTAGGGCCAGCACTATAGGCCTTGCAAGGCGGTTGTTCAGCTCTGAGCTGGCAAATTAAGGTACAAATGGATCTGTGATGAACAAAAGTGTCATCAAGAAAAGACTGTCTCAGACATACTCTTGCTACAATGCATATATCTCTCATGTGACGATTGTGTACAAGACCAAATTTGATGTTGTTGATTTGCTGATGTATTGGAGCGGCACGACTCTTCTACTGGCACACGTTAGTCGGGATGTGGGTGAGGCTGGGGCCCCGAATGGAGTACCAGCCTAGCCAAGAGCTCGCGCACAGCCAATGTTCATTAATGGGTTGGTGTGCCACTAATGCCACTAAAGCAGCGCTGAGTATCGAATGCTCCGGGATAATCTCGTTTCAAGATACCGGGCTCACATGGATAAACGAGCAACGAGTTTCTGCTCATGATCGCCTTGCAGAGAGAATCATGCGCCAAACCACACTACGCAGCTGAAACCCCACAATGGGAATAAGCATCAATGCAACACAGATCTGCTTCGCCAGTTGTCTCATCGTGGTTGCTTTATGCCGATTTCATGCGGCCTGTTTGAAGGAAAATTAGGGGCTCTCGTGCTCAGACTCACGGCAACACATATAGTATTCAAAGTATTCGCCGTGCCACACAACTCAAATCTACTAAAAACACATTTCCCCCGACACCCTTAAAACAGTCACCCGCTGTCATTAAATTATCAACGCCCGAGATTCCATGCCAGCATGACTACAGGTTCGATTCGACTCCCAACCGATGAGGAGCATATCTGCTTAGTTTCAGCGGCTAAATGTTGCCGACACAAGCGTACTGCATTGTTGGGGCCAGGTTCCATCGGGGCAAGCTATGCTCCACAAATAAAGCATAGTCGTGCTCGCAGGCACCTGAAATCGTACGTGAGGAACGGGTTTTAAAAGCCTTGGACTAATCAACGATCTAGGTCGGCCAACATGCACGAAGCCAGACCTTCAGGGGGCTGGCACGGACATCTCACGGTCCGTCCAGTGTCCGCGTCGCGAAAATAGTTACGGCTCGTACAACTAGTTAAGGCCCAGTTGATCAGGATGGCTGGTAAGTCTTATGAAGCCTCCTCCCTAAGGCACCGACAAAGTTGCCTATATACCATTTGATGCAGCTGCTGATTATTATCACAGTATGACGACGGGTATTCCTGCTTCATCTAGCTATTGTGTAGCCAAGGCCGGTGGCATTTCCGTCGTTGATTCGTGGGAACAGGAAGGACAGAAGATGGAAGGCGGTGTTGACAGAGAACTGTTGAATCTCGGCGGCAGGGCTATTTTACCTTTTTTTTGAAGCCAGGCACAGGCCGGGGGAGAGATGTATGTCACTCCAACATCCTCATCAGATACATGAACTGCTACAGGATATGGAGCATAAACAACAGGAGGTCAGTGCGCGGGTCCATTTCGCCGCAGGCTTTGGCATTCAAGAAACGGGAATCCTCGGCGATAGACCCTGACCAAGATAGCATGCTGCCGTTGCCACTGTCGCGTCGGAAACAAATGAGCGTGAAAAGTACGGCTGGGCCTTCAGTTAATGGCTTCAAAGGCATCGGTAAGGGCTATGCATTTATTTCTTCTTATCTCTCGCGGCAAAAACATCCGACTCTCTTCTCGTCTACCAGACCATTTCCGCGATACCGGCAATGCAATATAATTTGCTTAACACTGCCAATTATAGAAGCGTTCCAATAACCATGTACTGTTGTAACCCGGAGTGAGAGAAACGCAATCATTCAACAAGCATTTGCCAGTCGGCATACCCAGCCTCTCTCACCATGATACTGGCAGGAACATACTTGTCAATACTTTTGTTTGCAGCCTTCCTCTTGCTTCTTCTATCAGTACTTTCTACTCCCATTACCAAGTTTGTGGCACTCGGATCATTCCACGATGTCAAATATGGCGTCTTTGGCTACTGCCTGGGAGACAAATGCACCAATATTGCAGTAGGATATCCACGAGGTATGTTTCGTTATGGTAAAGTGCGGAGACCGGGTCATAATGCGACGCCTGTATACTGATATGGTGAATTTCACTTGCAGGTGGCGCATTGACTGATGGCACTCAAACATTTGATTCGCCTAGTTCCGTTCGCTACACTCTGTCAACTGCTTTATTCATTCACCCTATCGCAGCAATCCTCACTCTCGTCGTGCTTTGTCTGACCGTTAGTTCTCACTCACACGGTGCATCGCATTCGTTGAAATATCTTACTATCCTGTTCATCTTGACCTCAATCACTTTTGTGGCTTGTCTTGCTAGTTTGATCATAGATATGCTGGTTTTCTCTACTCATCTATCATGGGGTACTTACATAGTCTTGGTTGCGACCATAATTTTAGCTATCAGCGACTTTGGCTCATTTATCAGACTACGCACCATTATTGCCAGAAAATCTCACCAACAACGCACAGTACACAACGAAAACACGTCAGGCCGAGACTATGATAACAGAGACAGCGAGGCCAAGCCAGCTCCTGTAGTCGTCAGTCACCCAATGGTTCCTACAATAGGCGGAGGGGGCTCCAGAGATGAGCATCCAGTCTTTGTGACTTCTCATAGTCGGAAAAAGAATGACTCACCAACTGGTGAGAGGGCTTTCCCGGCACAACGAAGCGCTGGGGACAAGTTGGAAAAGGCAATGCACAGCAACATTACAGATGCGGGAAGCGCCGTTGCGACAGGCAAATCAACACAGCCGGAGGCACGAGTTCATTACGGAAACACTTCAAACGAATGCGGTACCAGCTATGAAGATTGCGGCAGGGAGATGAAGAGTTATAACCTTTCACTCGGTAGAGAGAAGCCCGGCAGGAGGGGGGAATGCGGTCCTCCAACCCGAACCTTTGAACTACAGGGTCCTTCCCCCTTCCCACCCCAAGGCCTCTCTGATATGCGCCCGGGCCAAAATGAGAGGAAACCTTCCAGCGGTGACCGCACACTGTCCGGAAATCCTCGGCTGTCACAACCTGCATTAGATCGCAAATCAACCGGATGCCGCGGTGACCTGGTTGTTGATGGGAATGGAGTTCCTCGGGCTGAGGCTACTCCTTTGGGGAGGCAAATCTCAGACGGTTTGCAGGCACCCGAGATGAATGCTATTCCTCCCGTTCCGCCCGCAGCAAATATCTACGAACTCTATGGTCAGTTCCCAAACGGCGATGTAGAGGTTGTCGCGTCTGTTGGCTGGCAACAAGGCCCCTCCATGATTGCTAGTAGGCGTGCGACGTTTTTGAGTGACGAAAACCAATACAGTATCGCCAAGTACGTTCATCATGTCGTCCAACTACATGTCGTCGTTCCTTCTATTCGCTAATGCTTGCCTGACAGGTTGCCACAATACATTCCTCCACGGATCCAGTGGGACGAAAATTCTGGAAGGGTCGCATCGAGAGCAGCCTCCCCAGCTGGGCATGATTCAGTAAGGTCAGGATCGTACAGTGGCTCTTTGGACTTCCTTCAGGACTTTCTTCATCCTGTCTTTTCGGGATGGATCTCCCGATAACTGTCCATCATATCCTAGCCTTGCAAATAGAACGCGCCGACCTATGAATTCGTGTTATGGCTCTTTCAAGACTCTTCCCAGCCAGCCACGATCCACCCGCATTCGCGCTCAATCACAATATTATATAGCCGCCCTTTATAAAAGAGGAGTGGAGGATACAATGATCTTAAAAGCCTACCACTCTGTGGGCCAAGCAGTTATAACAACCGTTACATTGACTATTTAGCTAGACTTTGTGGTCTCTTGCTGCGGGACTGTAATCCGGCTAGTAAGGATTTTGTGCAAGAAACCGACATATCCTATGCCGCTTATCTGGGGTAGGAATGTACGACCTTTGTCAGACGATTAAGGGTGACGAAAGATCGGGTATAATAGCACCGACGGTGCCAGTTGTATTGAATGAGAATTATCTGAGGAACAAGGATTCCATAAAGGGCTGCACGGGAACTTTATACACAAAAGGAATATTTGATGGTTTAGGCAGTAGCAGGTGCAGGATGCCACATGAGGTATGACCAAGGCAGGCCTGATATGCGACAGCCTTTTTGCCATTAGTTGTGAAAATGCTCCTGGGGCTTTAGATTATGCATAGATCACGGCCCAATAGGCATATATAAGATCTTATACGGCACCGGCACCGGCACCGACACCGTCCTAGTAGATGGTGTAGCACGAAACTTCGAGGACTTTTAGTGTAACTATACCGACAAACTTGACGGGCTGCAGACGGAATCTGCAGCACAACAACGAACAATACTGTAACAATCTTGTTAAACAAGCTTGATTAACAATGAGTCTCATAACGTGACATGTAGAGGAACACGTCACTGGCATCGCCCTAATACATAGTGCGGTATGACACTTCAGAGCTTCAAATGACTAATGAAGAACTTTCAGGTGACTCAAAGTGCAAACTGTACTCTAAACCAATGGTCCATGGTCTGTTGGTCTGGTTTGTACCTTCTGGATTGGGCTGACCGCCTAGTTAACTACGCTAACAGGCCTGACAGTCCAATTTCTCAGATAAATCCTATATTGCCACTCTACATTGGTTTATGCTATGCAGCTTGAGGGTAATCCTCCGAGTTCATAAATCAAGTATGTCACTACTAACGCTCTCGGTCTTCTGTGGCTTTGTTAAACCAATTGCGCAGCCAGAAAATACCGACTGAATAAGAATTATCTTGTCGATGTCAAAGCCGCCATCGTTGAACTGTACGATTCTAACTTTATTCGATGTTACTACTGTTGTAAACTCAAGCAGAAAACCCAACTTGCCGCGCAGGAATTGCTACTCCGGCTAGACCATTTGATGCAAAGCTGGCTGGTTGAGAGGTAGTTTTATCGCATGATCTTGACCACTGACTACATCATTATTTTCACGCTTCATGGTGCCTTGACTTGAATTGTTACCTGCACTGCTGTAAATTGTATTTACCAGTGCCACATAATCACTAACCAACTAGTCAGTGTATTAGCCAACTTTATGTTTCGTGTAGCCATCCTTAGGAGTACACTTGGCTTTTCTCTTCTCTCGGCTGGAACGACCCTTGTACAGCACCCCCTTTGTTGAATTAACAGCAGCCGCTATGCTTGCGAGGATGGACCCAAAAGACTTCGACAAATTTCTAGCCAGTATCTCATTTTTGCCTCCTTTATAAATTGACGCTTGTTTTCCGGATACTCCAACTCAAAGAACGCAAATATCTGCATTTCTTTTTTGGTCATGCAGTACTGGCCGCGGTGCTCAATTTTATTCCAGATGTGGTCACTGAGGGGGCGGAGGACGGCCTCGACAACCCATCTGCCTGCTGGTCCTAGATCCTCACTTGCTATACGGAATGCGTCCATGGCTTGATCGGGAATGTCCACAGAGTCAGAATCGAAATAAAGCTTAAGCCCTGGCCATACTGGGGCTCTGTCAGAGATCTCTGAAGTCTGGTTGATCCAAGATTGTGCTGGGCTAGACTCCATCGCCGCCATCACTCTGACGCCTCCGGGGTTGTCGATAGTTGCTTTGAACAATGTATTGGCGCAAGGGCTCAAGGTTCAGGATGTGATATAAAATCTTAAGATGTGTGGTAAGGAAGTCTAAAAGAGCCATCCATAATGTGCATTGCCAAAGAAAGGGTTTTTGCTCGTGTATTTCTAGCTCGGTGAAGGCCGGTGCATTTTTCGCCGAACAAGATAATGCTACTATTGGCAGGGCCGTTTACTCTACTACGCACGGGCGTAACTTGTCAAACAAACCAGTGCAAGCATTGGATTCATGCATGATGGGCTGATGGTTGAGGCCTGTTCAGCGAGCAACATTTTATCAACTGACATATGTAACTAGATCCATAAATCTAACACAACCACGGTTAGATAAAAATGCAAATAGCCATGGGGGCTATTCAGACCTTACACGATCAAACTTCCTGCGGCCGAGGCGGAATCAATGGTTGTTTTACGTTTCGGGCCGTAGGCATGATCGTCGTTGTGCCAGCATCTAAATTGGCCTTTTCGAAACGAGGTTGTGGATCGATGTTCGCTGCTTGTATTGCAGGTGTTGAATCGCACTGTGTGTTGCTGCCTTTAGGCTGCAGGATTCTGATGATCCCTAATTAGTTCGCTATAAGAAGATGGATCGGCGTCTGAATTTCAGTCTTTGGATCTCTAGAATTATATTGGAAATCGTACAGGAAATATTCTTACAAGAATCTGTTGCCTTTTGATGGAAATTCACTTTTTATCAGACAGACCTTGCTGTTCAAGCATTACTATTGATTGGTCCGCTGTCCTTTGAGTACTGCAAGGGGCATCTCTTCTCCACATGGCACTTCTCAAATTTGGTACACCTCAAGCCCCATACTTTCCCTTACACTGGTTGGTTCCGCCTGGTCCATTTTGTTCCTTGAAAGATCTAGTATCCCCTTGTTTGGCAGGAATTGGCACGCTAGCAGGGGGACCGTTTTTACTTAGTAAGGGGCCAAGCTCGCGCACTTTTATTGGCTACATATTCACCAAAATTATTACGCGCGTGAACGCCTAAAGTTCAGTGTGGTAGGACTTGATCACTAAAATGCCTCCGAAGCGCAAAACCCCCATGTCAGACAATAATGGCCAACTGATCTGAATGCATGCGTCACTAAATGGGTAATGGTTTAGGTGGTCTGTTTTTGCCAACGGCTGGGGCAACCTTTGGGGTTGACCGGCCGGCACCAAAGATAATGCACCACCCAATCCCAGAGGGATTGGCAGCGATCGAAGCATTTAATGCGATGCATACTGGTTATCAGGTTTCTATCGAAATATATTGGGCCCACTCCTATTGAAACCTCAGGCGAGCCTCTGGGATGGTTTGACAGCTGTGCACGATGGATTACGGAAAGGTATTGATCTTATCGTGACGGGCTGCAGATCCCCACACACTGACGTTTGACTGGAAAGGTGGACTGTTGGCTTTGTCACCGAGTTTCTCCAAGGTTTGAGGTTCATTAAACTTGTTCTTACATGTGGATCCCATTCAGCAGATTTTTTAACTACACTGATGGATTAAAACAGTTGTTTTAACTGAGGTTTCGGTCATGTCGAAACTCATGTCGATCGACACTCCTTGCAGTTGTGCTCATAATAGTTGACAAACTCCTTGCATCAAGCGCAGGTAGATCCCCCGCTTTGCCGATATCCAATATCTCACGAGTTGGAATCACCACCTAACTCTACAGGCAAAGGCATCGGCTACTAAGAAAGTGAGCTACTCAGCGGCTCTGGCTCCTTAGCCAGCTGTTGTTCACTATGGTGTCCAGGACTATCAACAAGTCTCGTGGAATGTCAGGAATCCGGCCCAAGCAGGAGACGTATTCTGGTTTGTAGTCCGCCGATCTAGATACACATGTTAGGCAAGGGGCAAAGGGCGATGTCTGCACATATCGTATTCAAAGGTGTCAAAGACTATAGGGTTCCTACAGGTCATGCAGATCTACCAGCTCAGACAGAGTGCGTGAATTGACACCAGTAGGTCGCACGGCGTGTCTCTTTTTCGGTCTCATCCAACTTTCACGATCTTACCAGTTCCAGCGACTATTTCTTAACCTCAGACCCTACCGCCTAACCAGACCGTGGCATATTCTGCTTTATCTTAGGTCAAGGATATCTACGTATTTGATTAATTTCTTGGACCTTTGCATCGTCTTGAGCGTCTTTTTACCTTTTCTTGCGGCAGCGAAGTGCAATGTTGCAAGTCCCACAGAGCAACCCGGAAAGTGCGGTCTGCCGGCCAATGGGAGCTAAAAATATTCCAAACTTCCGTGGCCTTGCGTACGCAACCCCTCTGGGTTTCACACATTCAGATCCGCCGCTGCCGCCAGTGCTACCGCCCCGAGCCCAGAATATTCGGCACTCACGCAAGGTTCAGTCAGTTTGGTGGGTGCCAGACAACCGCAATCCCAGGCTCGCACAGGGAACATGTGCAGGTGGTGTGAACCCACCAATCGGCGTCGTATCATCAGCTGCCCAGCAACGGGCGACAATCCCATCCGCGACTTATGAGCATGAAAAAGGCCTAGCAGCCCAACACCCTCGACAGCCGTATCAACAGCCAGGAAAACCGGATTCAGACTTGGCGAGTGGACGGAGACAGCAGGAGATTAAAGCAATTGACAATTCCCAGCGCTTGGCTTATGACATCCCGCGACTTGAGGTCGAGCCAGAGCGCACTCCAGCCGAACAGAGTGTCGAACTTGCGAGATCCCAAACGCAGCCTACTATGCCTCAGACAAAACTGAAGAACTTCTTTATGAAATTCGGTTTGCTTACTCTCCTTTCGCGAGGGAGATGGTCCAAGTGCAAGAACAGCTAATCGCCACTCATTACAGCTGCCTCAGACGATACGTGTCAAAACAACAATCTCAGTACGCCATCCGTGTCAGACAAAGTGGATGTTGTTGAGCCATGTAGGTATAGAGCTGCTGTCGAGAAGATAACACGCATTCTGGTCACAGCGAGACTAGAGTTGAAAGATCACAGTTTTCTAGCTACAAAATAAGGCGCTAACCACTGATCCAATTCCAGCGAGTAGAAGTTCGATGTTTTGCTAGATTCGTCACATTACTAGTCACCGTAGAAACGTCTATTGCTGATAACGTCCACGGGCTGGCTGATATAACGAGGGACAAGGTCTCTCAAGCTCACCGGTTACTCCATAAACCACCTCCGGCCTCTGCATCTACCTTGGTCATGAACCCTAAAGCATCTACTACCTCAGCCAGACTGCGGGCTTTAAATCGTTCGATTGGACCAGGAGGCATCAATCACAAGCCGTTGGCCATCTAAGAATACCAGCTTTGTGCTCCTAACCAGACAAGGCCTCAGCCTCGTGTACGAACTTCAAGAACGGGATGTTCAAGGAGACTTCTCAACTGCATACACGAAGTTCTTTCCCAATCAAATTCAATGAAAAAGGCCAAGGTTGAGATAGCAGTTGATTTTGTGTCTGATGGATCGGTTCCTGGGCTCGGGTTTTCTATCGGGGGAATGCATATCATTAACTCTGCGATTATATCTGCTGGACAGATCTTCTAGATTGGCGGTAATCGGACCATTTACACTGTTGCTGTGGTGGATTCACACAATGGATAGGCCCTCTCAGCATCACTTCTAGTGTTCTGCCAGTTGTTCTGCGAGAGATTAGGGCAGTGCGCTCTTTTTGCTGATAAAAGAGCAACGCTGCTTTTCTGGTTCGTGCTCGGGCCAGTTGGGATGCGGTATATTGGCATAGTAACGCTATTTTGTAGTGAGATAAAATTCTGAATAATCACAAGACTTCGTTCATACCGTCTTTGGATTGACGCCAATCCAGCCGTTTACCAAAACGCTTGCATCTTTCCGCTCAGAAATTTTTGGGCACAGAAAGATTAGCGGCTCCGCCGCCACTCCCAACCTTACTCTTTCCGGACCAGCAATCCCCGCAAGTGGTTGCCATCACGAGGAGACACTGGTGTCAGCTATTCATCAATTACCCACATGAAACGATACATCGCGAGTAGGGCGTGGGCTTCTTTTACCAAGGCAACCCTGCGACTTGGAACTAAGTTGCATAGCCAATTTAAATGTGATGATGGTAGGTAATGCTCCCCTTTCATTCAGGAAGCATCAACTTGGAAGCCACTACTAATTGCCCGAACGGAGGCACTACAACGTTGAGACCAGTGGTCATTCTCTCCTCCAGCAAGTGCCTCACACGATCATTTGTGTTTACGCTTTGTACTTGCCAATTGGAGTCGACAGTCCTGATATACTGATTTAGTGTGAGCAGAATCTCCGCGTCGGGGTCAAATACCGCATTGGCCGCAAGATTGGCTCCGGTTCGTTCGGCGAAATATACCTGGGCACTAATATCATATCTGGAGAAGTGGTCGCTATTAAGCTTGAATCTATCAGGGCTAAGCACCCCCAGCTTGAGTATGAAACCCGCGTCTACGAGTCTCTGGCTGGCGGCGTCGGCATCCCCTTTGTACGCTGGTTTGGTACCGAAGGGGACTACAACGCCATGGTACTTGACCTCCTCGGCCCAAGCTTGGAGGACCTGTTCAACTTCTGCAACCGAAAGTTCTCGTTAAAGACTATTCTTCTTCTCGCCGATCAGTTCATTTCCCGAATTGAATATATTTATTCAAAGTCTTTCCTCTACCACGATATTAAGCCCAATAACCTCCTTATGGGCATGGGTAAGCGTGGCAACCAAGTTAATGTCATTGATTTTGGTCTAGCTAAGAGGTACTGGGATCCTAAGACTCATTTTCATATTCCTTATTGTGAGGGTAAGAACCTGACTGGCACTGCCCGATTTGCTTCTATTAACACTCACTTAGGTGTGGAGCAGTCCCGCCGTGATGATGTGGAATCTCTAGGCTACGTCATGCTCTACTTCTATCACGGCTCGCTTCCTTGGCAAGGTCTGAAGGCAGCTAACCAGAAATAAACCTGTGACCTCATTATGGAAAGGAAGATAAGTACTCCTACCGAGATTTTATGTTGCGGTCTCCCAAACAAGTTTCGCGTCTACTTAAACTACGCTCGTTCCCTCCGCTTCAACAACGAACCCGACTATCGCTATCTTCGCCAGATCTTTCGCGATGTGTTTGTTCGTCAGGGCTTCCAGTATGACTATGTCTTCGACTGGACAATCTACAAGCAGCAGAAGAATGTCCAGACAATTCCTCAAGCCGCTGCCAAAGGACGGTCATAATTTAGGCGGCTGGCAGGGCCTTCTTTTTGGGGGGGGCTGATTCTGTCGGATAAAGCCTCCGTAGACTGAAGTCGCAGAGCTTAGTGTAATAGCTGGTTGTTATAACGTCGGCTATTATGACTAAACTTAGCTAAAAGTTAAATTTAGATAAAAGAAGTTTTTGGTATTTAGAAGATAGCTGTAGACTCCGTCTTCAGCTTAATCCAACAAGGATAATAATTTTATGAAGAAGCTTAGTTAACATGAGTCTCATAACGTGACAACAGCACTGACGATACTCTCGACGATGGTTATGTAAGGATCCGCCAAACACTCACCAGCTCAAATCTAATATGGCTCAGATTTTGCAGGTATCTGTATATGTTGAGGGCCTGAAAATAGAGTATAAGCTCAAAGCCAGGACTAAAGTCATAAAAGGCTTGCCAAATTGGTTCAGCATAATTCAAGACGAGGTCTCAAGCAAGTATATTAAGACCGTCGGCCCCGGTCCAGGACGAAGCTAAGACTAGAGAGGCATGGTAGTTACAAGTACTTACCCAACTACGCAGTTGCCCTAGCCTTGTGTTTCCTAATCAATTCTAATAGTTTCTGCATCGTCAGGTATCAGAAGCGAAGTGCGAGACATTGTGCAAAGACACGTAGAGGAAAGAGTAGAGATGATAGAATTAGATCACCAAGCAGATGAATAACACTGACTACGGAATAGGGCTGCTCTTTGCCATTTAGTGGGAGATATGGCATACACCTCCTCTACCTTGGGATACTTATTTACAAAATCTAGCTTTTTAAGAGTTATCAAGCTTGAAAAGCAGGCACGAAGCTAGAAATATCGATAGATTTATAGGGAGTAACTGTAAGGGAACGGCTCCACTTTAGGACTTACTTAGCTCGAGTCAGAGCTTCTTTGACTCTCCTTGGGAACAATCACTTTATCCAAGTCGCACTTGACCTTGCTCGTGCCCTTGTACCGTCACAGCAACCGGAGCCTTCCCCAGCGCAAATTTACACCCGTTTGGCTGGGTATGGAGGTAATCTATACAGGAGACCAAACCGCAAGCGGCTTGCCCAGAAGAGCCTTGAGGAACGAAAGCTTAACATGATGTAGTGGTTTGTGAGAAGTTTAAAGGAAGTTTTTATACGGGCTAGATGTCTCAACGTGAGAGCAGACTCAGAAGTTGGAGTCTAGCAGACAGGCACAGACAGAGCGTGAGATATCCGAAGCATGTTAAGGGCAACATCACAGTCTTCCCCAACAACGTGCAAGAGCTAGTTAGAGATGTCCTGCCTCACCCGCTATTGAAGGTGCTGGATGAGGTGCACGTGTCCTGGCAGGGTGTTGAGAAACCAGCACCGAGCGATCTTTCAGCGCTTTTGTCGGTGCGGCGCCGCGTCGTGGAGAGGGCGCTGGTATGGCTAAAGAGGTACAATCCTCTATATGCCGATATCCATATCGACACGGCGGAAATGGATAGCTGGGGTACGGCCATACATGGCGTACCCTCTCAGATCTACGATCGTTTGGAACGGGACGAGCCGTCGGCGTCGGAGAAGGCGCGAACAGGGCCAGTTGTTCCACGGACAGAGCGTGGTCTGGAAGAGGACGGACCCGTTGATATCCACGAAGTTCTAGTTATGCTAGGCCAAGGAGACGATATTGTTGCAGATCCAGCCGAGGCGAGTGAGCAGGCTAATGCAGTTGGCGAAGATGGAAATGAGGAGCAGGCGGAGCTTGAGAGTGGTGCCGATGTGATCCACGAGACCATCTCGTTCGGGATGTTCGCTCTTGATGACCAGCCGGATATCGGGGATGCGGAGAAGTTGCAGCACGTTTACGACGCTCTGAGCCAGGAGGCTGTTCGCGACGACAAGGCGGGAAGTGATTGGGCGGGGTCGGCCGAGGTGCGGCGTGGATACACGTCCGAACCTTATATTGTTGTGTCCCGTGGCGAGGAATTTGCCGATTCCTTTGATACGCGGTTCTTTGCAAAGGCATTCCCGACGCTATTCCTGGTTGGAAATGGAGGCCCACGGCAAGCGGAGGAGAGCGTCGCGGACACGGCAGGGGATAGGGAAATGGTCCTTGACGCGGACGCCACAGCTTGGCGTCTAGTGTCGTCCCGGAACATGAGCCTAGAGACATGGGCAGGCTTGGTTCTCCAGCGTCACGGCGGTCGCTTTGCGACACACCACGTCTTCAGCTTTCTTGTCTTTAACATGGGCGTTAAGTTAAGGAACCGCCGGGTAAGCATGCTAAGCGTGAGAAGGAAGAATTTCCGCGAAGTGGAGCATATTGTTTGACCGCTGACCGCAGAGAGGCTGGGGGAGGCCAGGGCTGAGCTGGAAAAATCCGGGAAGACCGTCGACGAGGCAGTTAACAAGCTCTTAAGGAGCCTGTCTTTGTATGGGTTTCGCCAGCCGATGTTAAGGGAGAATTGTTTAAGTATGCGGCGGAAGATTAAGGCTCTTGTAATTCGGCACGGCATTCCGGCCATTTGGTTCACGCTAAACCTAAATAATATCACGAACCTAGTTAAGCTTAGACTCGCGGCACACCGCTTCCGGGACCCAGACGAGGCCGAGGCCTTCTTAACGAGTCTCGACCTGGCATATAAGCGGGCTCGGCTGGCGATTTCAGACCCTCTCAGCTCGGCAATTTTCTTCCACAGGGAGATTAAGATGTTCTTTAAGTACTATATGAGGACAGGAGAGGACTTGGTGTTTGGGCGTATTAGTTAATACTTTAGAGCTGTAGAGAGTAACGAGCGCGGCGCGCTCCACCTCCACAGTATTCTCTGGCTTTAAGGGAACATGCATCTGAGCTCCATCCTCAAAGATGTGTAGGGGGAGGACCAGGCAACATATCGTGATCGGGTGATCCAGTACGTAGACAGTGTCTTCACGGAGGTAAGTTTCTGCCGCGTAATGCCCTAATCCAATACAGTCGTTTAACACGGGGCAAACGATGCAGGACCTCGACCAAGCGGCATCCGCGGCAGTTCAGGCGGAGAGGTCTGTGACGTCAGATATATCATCGGTGTTGCAGAACAGCCACCAATTTGCCGCAGCATTCGACGAGGAGGCAAATTTCTGCGCCGGCGCCACCCAGATACACACCCACAGCCCGACTTGTGTGAAGTATTCCATTAAGAAACAAGGGAGGAAGAGTAACCTCTGTCGGTTTAAAGCGCCTTGGAGACTTATTAAGAAGACTGCGTTTACGGAAGACAGAGTATTGCGGATTTAACGCAGGCACGAATGGGTAAATCGTTAGAACAAGGCGATGGCTGTAGGGCTGCGGCACAACCATGACATATCATTCATCGCGACCCAGTGTAAGACCTTGGCCATAGTCTACTACGTGACGAACTATGCAACCAAAGTGGAGGATCCCGTATGGAAGCGTGTGGCAGCTGCGGCGGACGTATTCCGCGTTCTGAAGGACTTGACAAAGGGGTCCCAGGTGGTTGTCGCGCAGGTTGCTAGCGAGGATGACAGTCGTCAGAACAAGACGGGGCAGTTCTTGATGAGGGTTGCGAACCGGATATCCACGGAGCGGCCCTTGTCGCAGGTAGAAGTCGTCGCCTATTTGCTGGGCTACCCTACTGAGTTTGTAAATAATGACGCATGGACGTTTTTAAATGCATCTTCCCTCTACTGGCACATCTTCCGACGGTGGAGCCACCTGCGAAGCGCGAGTGGTATGGAGCATGTGGACGAGCCTATGGACAAGACGGTCCTTCTGGAGGAAGCTGGGGAGAGGGTCTCCTTTGTGCAGGCATACCCGCACCGTGGCAGACTTCTGTAAGGCCTGTCGCTGTACGACTATATGTCCTTGGTCAAACTGAAGCGGAAGGGCAAGAGGCCAGCTACTTGGGGCGAGCTGGAGTTAGACAGTGTCTGGCCGCTCTCGCAGATGTGGGTGCAGGCATTGCGGAGGCCGGGTAGGCATGCCGTCGTCTGTCTGGACGGCTACCTCTGCATGGATTTTGGGGAGGAAGAGGAGCTCTATCACAGGAGGTATGTACGCCCCAGTGGCCATCAGATCTGGATTGCCGTCCAAGAGCGGCAGGGTCCCGAACAAAGATTGACATTGGCAGCGCAGGGCGGCCGTACAACATCTGGCCATCTTTGTCCCGTGGGAGTCGTTCTTGTCCGAGACGTCAGGCGATATCAATACCATTTGGGAGAGACAAAAACAGGGTCTGGCTCGCAGGGTGTCATTCCTTGTAGACAACGTTCAACTACTCCGCCGGTCCGCCGAAGACGTGAAGCGAGATGCCAGACAGTGGGCCGCCATGTCCGGAGAGACAGATCCTATGGCTGACGTGACCGAGTCGGGCATGGCTGATGGCGATGATGAGCTGGGAATAGGGTACCGGTCAGACAATATCGGCAATGCAGCTCGCCTCATTGACGTTTTCAGAAATGCGGTGGGAAGTGGTCAGATCACGACCGGATCAAAGGAAATCTCGACAATGGTGCAGGAACTGTGCCGATTTCAGCTAGCGTCCCTGTGCTCAACGGATGATCTGGGTGCCACGATGGTTATAGAGCGACGACCAAGAACACTCGGCCTCCGAGGACACCCATCTTCGGGGGCAGAGATCCCGAGACAGGAACAGGTCAGGTCTATTAAATCGCAGCAAATAAGCGCGTCCAAGGAGAGGGAGAGAATGATCCAGGGGGTGCAGAGCCTGGGCAGTAACAACACGACGGGTCACAGTAGAGCTGCGTACAGTGTCCTTCACGGCTTCGGCGAGGACGACATCTCCATAACGGCCGCAGACTCGGAGACTGTCGCCGGGGCCACAGGCCCGTCAACGAGCATCCGGTTTGGGCCGGCCACCTCGTTTCTGGAGGCAGGGAGGCAGTTCGCCGTGTCCTTCACGCTCAACCAAAGACAGAGCATTGCCCTCCGACTGATATGCCGTCAATTGGACCGAGTGCGTCGCGATGAGCGAGGTACCTCCCAGCCCTGCCAATTTGTCGGAGGCGAAGGCGGCACTGGAAAGTCGCAGGTCATCGAAGCTATCGCCGCGCTGTTTGCAAGCAAAGGAATATCACATCGTCTGCTGGTAACGGCGACATCAGGCACCGCGGCGGCACAGGTCAATGGTATTACTATCCACTCCGCGTGCAATTTGTCCAAAGGCATCTCGCGAACAAGTCTATATACGCACGTCGACGGGATTCGTTCTTCCAGCTCGGGTGACCTATATATCGATGGCCAGGCCAGGATGGACTGGCACGAGAAATGGCTGCTGATCGTTGACAAGGTCAGCATGCTTGGTGCGCGGACGTTACACGCCGCGAACAAGCAGCTGTGTAAGCTTCGGGGGTGCATGGAAGACTTTAGCGGGATTCCTATTATTGTCTTCTGCGGCGACTTCCACCAGTTCCGCCCCATTTAAGAGAGGTTAATTCTCCTATTAAGCGCTGCTATTCTATAAGATAAAGAGAGAACATTTAGGATAGAACAAAAATACTAGCATAATAAGGTATATGCTTTATAGAAGAAGTTTACCACTATAATTATGTTAAATAAACAAGTCTGTGCTGCTGGGGATCCACGGCTGCGCGGGCTACTAACGCGGATCCGGGAAGGCATACAAGACCAGACCGATGTGGATCTCTTAAACAGGATATGTTATCAGGAAGGCAGACGGACCTTGTGGGAGTCGGGCATTATAGTAATAACGCTGCTGAATAAGAACCGATAGAATTTGAACGTTGAGGCCGTGTTGTCTTTTTAGAAGCAACGGCAGGCACCGATACGAATCTTCATTTCCGAGCACAAGTGGAAAGATGGGCAACCTACAGAGGAGGAGGCTCTCATGATGATGGGCTACGGTGACGACAGTGCGATACCGGTTCCTGCGATCTTCATGTTCGTCCCTGGCATGGCTGTCGTCGTGAACCAGAACACCCACCAAGGCCTGAAAGTGGTCAACGGATCGAGATATGTGGCATTAGATGTCATTCTGGACAGGAAGTACCCAGGCTATCGCATTTCCCGTGATACCACCCTCCACTTTGGCCCCCCCGGCCGGGGTCCTGCTAGCCTCCGAGTCAACGAGAGACTTGCACTTCGTAGGCATGCCACCCGGAACCGTCCTTCTTGCACCCATCAGCACAAAGATAGAGTGTCAGAGCAAACGGCCATGGCAACAATGCGACGTTACTCGTCGGGGATTACCCTGCGCAGCCGCGTTCGCATGCACCGATTATAAGGTGCAAAGTAGGATGTTAGACCAGGTGGTACTGGAATTGCGGGGGACTCGGACGACGAATATTGACTGAAAGGCTGTTCCGGCACAGTGCGACCTGTACAGCTTGTACGTGCAGCTGTCACGGAGCCGGTCGCTAAAGGGCATAATGCTTTTGTCCAAGGCACGAGAGAAGGATTTCATAGGCAATAAAGTGCCGGACAACATGGTCGCTGCGGAGCAAGAGCTGGAAGTGCTGAGTGAGACGACAATTAAGGAGGCAGAATGCTGGGGTTGGACAGAATAAACGGAGAATTAGCTAGATGCACCAATGAGGAAGCACCCTCGGAAGTGATTAGTCAGTTGCGCAGTCGCCAGCCCGATTGGTGGCTCGAAACATGCGATATTAACTAAATATCAGCTTAACTAGCCCAGTTTATATATGTATGTATATATATACAATAGGTATACCGTAGGAAGGTTGCGGCGAAAAATAGTTGCTGACCCTAGACACTGACGTTGGCACTGAGGCTGGCAATGGTATTTATGCTGTAGCCCCTGGGCCTGTGCTCGGTATTTGGTCTAAGCTAAAATATAGCGGGACCAAGCGTATAAGAATGGACGACTCTAGCGACTCGGCCTCCCTAGTACCCGGAAATGCGAGTTTCTGGCGGCAAGGCAAGGGGAAGAAGAAGTGCGAGAGGACCCATAGCGACTCATCAAGATTTCGGAGCACTAAGGGCGGCGCTAATCTGATTGGTTGAGAGAGGAAAGATCACGTGAAAAGTCTTGACGAGGTAGAGCATAGAGACCTTTCGTTCCTCAAGGCATTTGCCCAGCGATCTGTTCGTTTGCTTGGCCAGCAGCCTTTCTTCCATTATTCTTCCATTATTAAAACAGATGTACCGCATGGTTGGGTATGGATTATGATTCTAGGGGTAATACTAGTTCTAGATCTGAATTGGTAGTCTATTGCCCGTCTTACGACCAAATAAAATCACTAAGTAATTTATTAGTAAGAGGAAATCTGCCAATTTAACCACAACCTGTCTAGAATGCTAAGACCACTATAATTCCAAGGTAATTAATACTATTAATATATTATATATGCCTCCCTAACCTAATTAAGCGTGCCAGGCCTAAAAGTGCTGTTCTTATATTAAGAAAGCTGGCTATCTATTTTATCTTAGCTAAGAGATCTACCCTAAAAAGAACCAATAAAAACGCTAGCCTATCGCCTCTTAACCAGAGATTTAAAACCTAATTTATATTATTAAAGAAGCTATAATAATAATATATAGCTAGGAGTTTATTTAGAGAGCCAGGCAGCTAGCCGTAAATAGTGCTAGGGATGCCAATCCTACTAACCTAAGTAAGCTTGCGGCTCTTACAAGCTCTAGCTCCCTTACCGCTTATACCGCTCTTAACTAATCCTATTGCCTTATATTCTGATCTATCTACTATCTAAAGCAGTATAACTAGTATAAATTACTTTTACCTGGCTATTAGGTTTTATAAGGGCAGGAAAAACTTATAAGATAATACCTCTAAGGCTAGTATTAAGGCTAAGTAAGCTATTATTTAATGTAATTATTATTTATAATACTATATAAGGAATACTATATTACTAACTTTTATAATTTCTTAACTTAATATTTTTAAAGGTTTTAATAGTCTTAAAAAAAGTATTTTTATACTATAATCCTGGTAGTTTATTTAAGCTAATTATAAAATATAGCTAGAAGTTAAGATTAATTATAGCTAAATAAGCTTTTAGATAGGGATAGAATAACTAAGAAAGCGGATAATAGGGGATAGTTCTCTGAATCTGATATTGACGTCGAGGACTATTTTAACTTACTGCTTTTACCTGCTTGACCACAGAAGTACCTCGAACACCTAGGGGTAGAGTCTGATTCCGATCTAGGGGACGAAGACGGGAACGATAATAGTAATGCCTTGGACGAAAGCCCTCTTCGCTATTGCTCGCGGCAGCCTTCCACAAAGTCAGGGCCTCGTCGCCGTGCTCGCCGTGGTCCTGCTCCTAGTACAGGAGGGCGGCCAAAAAAATCTCAAAGGTAAACTCAATCGTCGGGGCCGCCACGACGGTACTGGAGTTCAGTGATGATTCCACCTGAAAAATTAGCCATATTTCACGCATAAGATCCGGTGTGGAATGCGGACCTAGATGCTTGCGCCTTGACTTATTATGATAAAGTAATCCTTTATAAGTTCTAGATAAACCTAGATAATAACCAAATATAATTTTATAGTTAATGTTAAGAGCGTTGGTTCTAGATGCAGATCGATTCTGATAGCATTTGTGCGCGTTGCTGTTAAAAGGATGATAAACGCGGCCCTGAAGAGCCGTACAGTACGGATTTTATTTCGCCCGGAGGGAAGTCCCTAGAGGGCCTAGACAGAAAGGCTATTTACGGTTCGATAAATTTGGTACGTAACACCTCAAGCCCCACACTGGTTCGTTCCGCCTTATCCGTTTTATTCCTAGATAAGCTTGCTTAAAAGCTATTCCCTAAGTATTTAATATCTTATCCTTAATAACTAAAGTATAATTTACTAATATTAAGGCTGTTTTATTATTAGTATTATTTTATATATTAGTTTTTTAATCTAGTAATTATTAGTTTTATATAAGCTTTTTTATTATTATTATAAATTTAATTATTATTTTTATAGCTTATATATCTAGTTTTTATTTATTATTATTA